ACATCATTTTCACAGTTTTCATCAGTACAAGCAAAACTTGATAAACTTCCATTGTGTTCGGATGTTGGAAGAATTTTCAGTGACTGAATTTTATACATGTAAAGGTCAAACTATTTGCATGGCTAGATCCCACCAGGCGTAAGCGGTAAATGAGCGTTTTCTATGAGTTGGATGATCCAATGCCTTTAAAATGCCATAATACTGACTTTTATTTGTCTTATTAATTGAACTATATAATAGAACTAATAGAATAATACTCATAAAAGTAAAATAGTGTAAATGTTAACATGTCTAAGAAGCTAACAACTGTATTTTGTAACATTGTCAAGCCTTTTTATCATTGAGCAAATTGTTGTTTTGAATAAACTGATCAAGTATAAACACTTTGTATTAACAATTAATCTACAGATCAATGATATCTCAATCAATTCTGAAGAACTTGCCATTATCTTTCTCTCTGATGATAAATGTGATTACTGAATAATAACCCTGATTATTGATTAATCTTACCCAGCATGACAGATGCAACAAGTGCAATGATTCCAAGCAGGATCTTGCCCATCTTGATGTGTTGGCTTGATTCTTCTGTCTCAAAGACAAAAAATAAAAACCCTCTCACAGAAAGTCTGGGAGCTTCTTGGATGCTGCGTGTAGTAAAGAATGATGACTCTGTTTGGTGACGTGACATTTATATAGTGTCACAGGAGGAGGGGTTTGGCCAAAGAGTCAGTGGTGGAGGAATTTAATAGATGAAAGATACACCTGAATGACATCACCTCTATAGTTTGTAGCATAACAAGCCAGTAGTGTCAGCTTTGCCCGGCTGCACCTGCCTTTCTCACTTCCCTCACTCTGTTTTTGCTCCCTTACCTTGATGACGTTATCCGACACACCTGCTTCATATCCCCTGATTACCACCAGCTGCACCTGATTAGTTCTCCCTATTTATTCCCTGCTCTACATTCACTCCCCCTGCCAGTTCTTTCTAGTATCGTCAGGCCCGGTTGTTTCTCGTTGTTCTTAGCTTTGTATTGTACTCATGTTTTTGTCACCCTAGCCCCGTTCCAGTCTTGTGCCCCATTGTCTCAGCGTCCTCGCCTCTGTCGCTTCTCCGGACCACGGACCTCATCACCCCCGCACCATCTCCCATTAACTGCATGTACTAACTCTGTCTCCTCAGCAACCTTCCACCACGACCAGCCCAGGAGTGAGTCCCAGCGTCCGCAGCCCGGCCTTTCCCCTCATCATTCCACCACTGACTGTTATTCACCTTCTGCGGCTCGACACCCGGTCCCACTTCAACCTGGTTATTCACTTCCTTGTAAAATATCACTGTAAATAAACTGAGCACTACTTGCACTGAAGTCAGCCACCTGGGTCCGTCCTTTTTTTGATTCGCTCACCTCTGTGTCCGAGCGGATCTAACAAGTGGAGATTGAATGATGACCCCAAGTTTATATTTTGTCATTTCTCAATTATCAGGAACTGAGACTTAAAAACAAACACAATCCTTTAGAACAGTGGAAAAGGCTTTTGGTCTGATGCAGCCCCACAGCTCTATCAGAGGAGCTTAAAAAGACCTTAGATGGTGCCACCAGTCATGTTCCTCAGACGAAAGGACTTTTAAGTGAATGTTATTTACCGTTCTTAAATGTATGAACGTGGGTTTTCTTACAATATATTTTTCATATACGTTACTCACTAATAGGTTTCTTTAATCAAGCTATTTTGGTATTTGAATTATTTCCATTAGTTTTTGCCAACTGTTTTCCCCCTACATCAGGGGTGACAAACTCAATCGCACAGGGGGCCAAAACTCAAAGCACACTTTAGGTCGCGGGCCGAACAGGATAAACATTTACTGAACAGACTAAAACTAAGCGGTTGTATACATCAACAGACCCTTGATTGATCTGACGCGGGAATGATCGCAGATAGCCTATCGTTCGGTAAGGCAACTGTTGGGCTGCATTATGGGATTTGTAGTTTGTGTTATCGGCGCTTCATATCGCCGGGCCATTAAAAAAAGATTATATAAAATGATCTCGGGCCTTGAATTTGAGACAAGTGTGTTAGGTAGATGTGCGAATAGTTTACCGGCTTGCTAGTGTCAGTGCTAGCCTGTTAGTGCTAGCTTAGATGACTGAACAAACGGCTGAAATACTTTGCTAAATGTAGGGCACGTGTCAAACTCAAGGCCCGCGGGGCACATCCGGCCCGCGAGATCATTTTATACATCTTTTTTTTTTTTATTCCCCGGCGATATGAAGCGCCGATAACACATAAACTACAAATCCCATAATGTAGCGCAACAGCTGCCTTAACGAACGATAGGCTACCTGCGACCATTCCCGCAAGCTAGGACAAGCTGAAAAACGTCAATGCAGAGCAGAAGCTACAGAAGGCAGAGGAGTTGAAGAGGAATCTGACATCACAGCAGACGTTTTCACCAAAGTGAAATCACACAGTGAAGCTGCTGTGGACAACAGTGCAAATGACCAACAGCAGCAGATATGAAGGTAAAAAGAACAGTCAGCAGATTTACATGTAATATAACATAAAGGGAGAATGTATTGAGTTTGTGCAAACAGCAGGGGCAGTCTTTTCATGTTTTTTATGTTCTGTGGTGGGTTACGGTCCAGGGGCAGAGGGGGGAGGTAATGGACAGCGTTCAGCATCCTCACAGCCTGGTGGATGTGTCAGGTTTGCCTGGCTGCACCTGCCTCTCTGACCTCCCTCACCTTGTTTCTCTTTTTCGGCCCCTGATTACACCACCTTGCACACCTGCTCCACACCCCTTGATTGTCACCAGCTGCACTTCATTAGTTCCTCCCTATACCTGGCTCACCCCTTGCCAGTTTGTTCTCGTTCTCAGAACTCCTCTGTTTGCATTGTTTCTTAAACTTGATCTTTACATATTCTCCTTATTTATTGATTTATATAGTATTGGACTCCCTGCCGCCGCTCTCATCCCATGCTGTCTTCTTCCTCCACAGACTACTACCTCCGGACCTTGGCTCCTCTCAACCCTTCCAGTCTCCATCAGTCAGGTCGATGCACAGTTACCATCTGTATAAACTCCAGTTTCTCTATCCCCTTACTAACCTTCGTTGCCCACTGACCAGCTCAGGAGTGCCCCTCAGCGATGCAGCTCGGCCTACCCCTTCAACCTCATCACTGAACTGTTATCTGCCGCTGATCGACACCCGGTTTATTCAGCTCATCTACGCCTGCCTGTTCTTGCCATTCACTGCACTGCACATAATAAATCACTGCTTGCACTGAAGTCAGCTATCTGGGTCCACCTTTTCTTTCACTCGCCCACTTTCCCGTATACGAGCGATCATAACAGGATGAAGCTGTTTGTAAGTCTGGTGGAGTGGGCCTGAAGACTCCGATACCTTCTCCCTGAAGGCAGGAGTCTGAAGTGGGAGTGTGCGGGGTGGGAGGTGTCATCAGCAATGCTGATGTCTCTGCGGGTGAGGCAGGTGTTGAAGATGTCCGTAAGGGAAGGCAGAGGGGTGCTGATGATCTTACTGGCTGTTTTCACTATGCGTTGTAGGGTCCTTCTGCAGGAGGCAGTACAGCCTCCGTACCACACACTGATGCAGCCAGTGATGACGCTCTCAATGGTGCCCCGGTAGAAGGAGCGCATGATGGGGGGTGGGGTGGGGACTGGCTCTCCTCAGTTTGTGGAGGAGGTAGAAGCATGTTTGAGCTTTTTTAGCCAGTGTTGTGTTCTCGCCAAATGTTGGTGCAGATTGGGCAGTAAAACCTTTAAATCCACGTGATTGAAGTTCCCAGCTGTGATGAGGAATCCGTCTGGGTGCGCTGTCTGTTGTTCACTGATGGCCTGGTAGAGTTTGTTTCATGCCTCACTCCTATCAGTGGTGTTAGGGGTGGGAGGAATGTACACGGCTATCAACAGAGGTGTTAGGGTTAGAGGTCTGAAACACATCTCGGGCCACAAAAAAAGTGGGGATGGTCACCAGGTCCCAGGAGACCAGGCCTGGGCAAATGAATTGAACCATTTTTTAACAGATTTGACTCTACCCAGTCCTTAGCCCCCACCCTGCCAGCCCCATTTTAGTTAAAATGTTTTAAATGTATTATTTTGTTGTGCTTTCCATGTAGCAACTGGCAACTCCAGAATCCTACAGCTTATAAGTGCTTGGATCAGCTGGCCTAGATGTGGCTCATAAAACAGACCCGGGCTGGTGTAGGTCTAGGCCAAATCTGTTTAGACTCCTGCATAGTGTACACAGCCTGAACGCAGGTTTGGACTGGGTTAATAAAATGGATGCGACTGTAACAGCTACTGTTATCTGGTTGGGACTCATTGGAGTAAAATATAGAGATAAAAATCTTTAATGTATTTAATGCTTTTGTATAAAAGGTTTTTGGTCTGACGCAGCCCCATAGCCTCATCAGAGGAGCATAAAAAGGCCTTAGATGGTGCCATCAGTCATGTTCGTCAGATTTAATTTGAAAGGATTTTTATGTTAAAATAAGAACAAGCAGCAGAGGCAACATGTTTTTAGATTTTCTTTATTAATTTATTTATAGCTTCGTCCAGTAAGTCACAAAATAGTTAAAGAATCTATTTATCGCTCATCCTATTTTTCTTTCCTTCATTTCTTCACTTCTTATATTCCATCAATTCATCTAAAACACCCAGAACTAGAATAATAACGTCTTTGCATGACAGTGAAACCTAAAACGAGTACCTTTATTTTGTGTAATTTAAATAGGTATTCAAGAATTCTGAGTAATTATTCACAGGTGCAATTTACACAGAATTGGATGACTACATTGTATCAGTGTAATAATTAAATATGAATATCTAGAAACATGATAGTAGTTTGGCAGTTGGGAACACTGGGCGGTGCGTGTTGATTTATATGTATGTGGCTAGTGCTGCAATATTTGGCAGTGAATCATGCCTCTACTGCTGTGTAACATTTGATTTATGCAATTAGGAGGTAACCTACATGTGCTTGAGGTATAGCAGGAGCTGTTGGTGACACAGTATGCATTTGAAGAATGAATGCAGTAGCCAAGCACAGCAAAGGAGCACTGGTTGCAGATCAGGGACTCCGCTGTGACACACAAGTTATAATCAAAATTACTATGGGTTGAAAATGAATGTATTGCTTGTAATAAACTGACCAAGTATACCACTTTGTATTATCATTTAATGTACAAATCAAGGATATCTCAATCATTGCTTAAAAACTTGCCATTATCTTTCTCTCTGATGATAAAAGTGATTTCTGAATAATAACCCTGATTATTGATTAATCTTACCCAGCATGAAAGATGCAACAAGTGCAATGATTCCAAACATGATCTTGCCCATCTTGGTGTGTTGGCTTGATTCTTCTGTCTCAAAGACAAAAAATAAAAACCCTCTCACAGAAAGTCTGGGAGCTTCTTGGATGCTGCGTGTAGTAAAAAATGATGACCCTGTTTGATGACATGATATATATATATATATATATATATATATATCTAGTGTCACAGAGTCAGCGAGTGGAAGAAAGTTATAAATGTAGGTAGGTAGGCGTTTATTGATCCCACAGTGAGGAAATTCCTGTGTAGATGATCTGAAAATCGACCTGAATGCTGTCAGATGTACAGTTTGTAGCAGAATAAGTTAGTAGAGACTGAATGATGACTCTAATTTATATTTTGTAATTTCTCAATTAATTAGGGCCAAAATCACAATGTAGGGGAAATTGCTCACAATCTCAGAGCTCAGGGTGATATATTCAGATTGGTTGATTTGTATTTATGTTCAGCTTCTATGTTACAAATTACCTTAAGATCTCGGTGTAGTCAATATTCACTACATTTAAACCTAAACTGATGATCTGTTTGTTGTTTATCAAGCTTTTCATCCCTCGTGGCTTTCCTTGTTTATAAAATGTGCTAAATAAACTCTTACTGCCTTTAATCCAAGATAGCTTGAGACAAATTGAATTTTAAAGTGTGAGATGGTAGATTGAGAATATTTGCCATTTGAAAGGGTCTAAAAATGACTAATAGTTAGTGTTGCTAAAATAAGCACTTTCACCTTAAAACAACAATGTGCCTAAGAGCTGAAACAATCAGGTGTAAAAGGTCCAACAGTAAAGATGAAAAGGTTTCATAAACATGTGCTATACAACTGAAGATGTTGGCTCACACTTAGATGTAGTTTTCTCACAAGCATCTCCATGTTCGTTTACATCCTATAGCACATCTCTTTTAAGTAACAGCCCTAAAACCAAAAGAACTAGATGGTCCTGCAGGATGACAATGAGACATTTACAGGTAAGGGGAAGAAACCAAACCAGCAAGACTGGTTATTCCCTAGTTTGCATTTTCTTTCTTAGACTAAGAGTCCAACATTTTCCTTTTGGAAATATGCCAAAAGCATCTGTTTCAAGAAAGTGTCATTCATCTTTAATGATTCGTGTTGAAATCAAATATCAGAGACAAGAAGCAGCCCTGACAAAATTTAAAGTAGGTGTTACCTCAATTACATTTCATTATCTGCAAAGAATGATTGATTTGATCATATTCTTCCATATCCCTTTCAAAAACAGCAAGATGAACAATAGCTTTTACCCAACAGATCATGAGTAACGTGCAGTGTGGATCCAAAACCAATATCAAAAATATAAACAAAGTTGATAGTTATGCCAATAATAATAATAATAATTTCACATATAACAAGAGCCAAAGGACAACTTATGTTAGATAAATGTTAACATGAGCAATAAGCAAATGACAAATGATAAAAAGAGGAATATTTAAAGAAGCTTTCAAATCTGAAATTAATAATTGAAATTAAAAGTAGTTTGACACTGACAATTAAACTATTGCCTCTTCTTGTTAGATGAGATGATCAGTGCCACCTGTGTAGGATAAACATGAAGCTACAGGCAGGAGACGGTTAGCAAACTAAACTAGCTTAGCAAAACAAATGGGGGAAACCGCTAACCAGATTCTCACTACGGGTAACAAATCCACCTATCTCCTTTACAGTTTGCAAGGTAATATGTTTAAAAAAACAAAACTTTTTTTTTAACACCACTTTTTTATGAGTTAAACTAACAAGACCTAGCATGCTAATTACCAAGATTTAGAAGTTCCGGTGGGTAGATTTTCACCTTTAGACAGAGCCAAGCTAACAGGTAATCCTGGTTTCTATTCTTTGTCCAGAGCTAAGCTAAGCTAAGCTAACATTCTCCCGGCTGTAGCTTTGCATTTATCAGACAGATATGAGTGGCATCAATCTTCTGATCCAACTCTCGCCAAAAACAAACAAACAAACAAACCTAACCATCAACAAAAAAGAGCATTTTCCAAAGTGTTTAACTATTACTAATGGCACTAATTGACCTTCAAAAAACAACTTATTCATTTAGTCAAATACCTAACATGAGACCCACAACCTTGTACCAGAATTTTATACTCATGAAGATTTTAATATCAAATAGTTTGAGGGCTGATAAGTATAAAACTACACTCATGTGAAATGAAGAAGTACAATACAATTCAAGAAGAGCAAACCTGTGGGAAAAAAGATAGACATTATACAACCACAGAGTTCATGACTGAGGAGAGTATTTAATCCTTGTTAGTGTGTTTGCACTTTGTCATCTGTCATCCATTGTATCATCTATCACACCAGAATGTTGGCCACAAACAGAGCAGTGACGGTGGCGAGGGCCAGGCTCAGCCCGGGGATTCCCACCAGACCAGGAGCGGCGTTGCACAGGTCACCGCTGCAGCACATCTTGTTCATGGTGTAGACTGTGGTGGAGTTTGAGGGGAAGTGCACTTCTTCGGTCTTGTTGCACTGGTCTGTTGCTAAACAGCCCTTTCTTACAATAGGCAGAAAACCAGCTGTTGAATGATCGAAAATACAAACAATTAGTGTCAGCTTCTACTGTTGGCGGAGTTCAGAGAGAACAGTTCCTCCAGTACAATCAACTAAAATCCACAATTAAGTCAAAGATTAGTGTAACCAATAACCCACTACAACTTTCCAAATTAATTGGAGATTATTAGAATTACATCCTCCAAGAAAATATTATCCAAGCTATATAAACTCATATCAAGTACAGTTTCAACAATAACTATACCAAACTCACATGGGAAAACAATTTAACTCTCTCCCTTAGCTCCGACTTCTGGACAGAAATCTTTAATAACATCTTTTCTATGACCAGCAATGTAAACTTACAACTTATACAATACAAGACCATTTATAGGACCCATATTACACAAAGTAAAATGTTCAAAATGGGTTTTACCGACACAGACATCTGCTCACAATGCACTCTAGATTGCACCGACAGTTATTTTCATGCTACTTGGACCTGCCAACCAGTTCATTCCCTCTGGATAGCAGTGACAGAGAAACTCTCCACCATCTTGGGCTGTAGAATTCCCCCCTTCTCCATCACTTTGCTTACTCGGTAATATCATAGAAATCGACCACCTACCAATTAAATACAAAAACCCACTCCTCATTTCTCTAGCTATTGCCAAGAAAACAATCTTTCAAAACAGGAAATCAAACAAATCTCTACACAAAAACCACTGGACCAACCTTCTGATAGAATACATCACACTAGAGAAAATGGCATCCACTCACAAGAATAGTTTATCAGCTTTTAATGACACATAGAACCCATTTTTAACACATTTCAACTTGAATCAAGCACCTGGGGCTGAGGCCACGCACATTCCCACCAACCTCAAAATGTGACAAGCTGCTTTTATTAGTAGTATTGTTATTATTGTTTTATTTTTTCTCGTTCTCCCTTTCTTTCCCTTCATAGACTGCATAAGTTGGAAATACCCTCATACACTACAACCATGTAAAACCCTCTACATCTCTTTGTAATGTCATGTATCTGTTGTCTTATCTTCCATGTCCTGACCTGTTTTGTTAATTTATTTTGTTTCAATAAAAAATAAATGAATAAAAAGCTTCTACAGTTAGCTGTGGTTGCTTGAAACAGCTGGAGTTGCACACAAGGAAAGGACTGACATTGTTGTTGGGGGAAGAACTCAGTCCAGTTTTGGAATTTGTGGAGAATTTATGAGATTTTTGAGATAACTGAGCGCTTTACCTGCTTTTCCACTTCCAGTGTAGCATAGCTCATTGGCATCACAGGTGACTTTAGTTGTTAAGCAGAACTTCCAGAGGCCAATGTCACATTTGTAGCACTGCAGAGCTTGACCTAAAAAACAGAATTGGAGAGGAAGGGAGGAGAGAAATACAGAGGAGGGGGGATATTATAAAATAGCCATTAGAAACAGCTATAACCAGGAAGTTAAAACAAACAAAACTGTGTTCATTAAACTTGTCTAAAATGGAGTTTTAGTGTTTACCATCCACTCAGTCAGAGGTCATGAATGTTGACCTATAGCACATTGTAGGTTTTAAGGTAGAGGTCCTACAAGCACTTAGTAGCACCTGGATGTTGTCTCCTGAATCGGTCTTCACGACACTTCACCTGAAGCAGTAACTTATTACATAGTGTCCATTAAAGCTGCTTTCAAATTAGCAGAAGAACAAAGCTATCGATTTTCCCTCCCATTAAAAAAAAAATATAGCTTTCCCCCCAGAATTGAGTGTACAGCTAGAGGTTTCCTGCATGTACACATTATAACCCCCTGAGACAAATCAGATTTGACTTTATGTGATTAGTTTCCAGACAGAAAAACCTTTAATAGTGCAGAAGATAATCATGTCCTATGTTAAAGCAAACAATCAGCCTGCACAACAGGAACTCTGTGGTTGGTTATTTGTAAAGGTATGTTAACACAAGCTTGCCTGACATGATAAAAGCTGCCCTGTGTGCATTACGGGCAGACTCAAGGCACGTCACCAAATAAAATACAGAGAACCAGATGTACAAAGACTGACAAGCAAAGAAAAGAATTGCGTCAAGCGTCCACTGAGAGGCTGAAACTCTGGAGAGCATGTGACAGAGCTGGGAGGGAGATACTCAGTCATCCTGAAGACACTGCTAGAAACCTATTGCTCAAGTTTCAATGCCAGCATTCCAGGACTGCCATTGTTAACCAAATTACATACTGCACTGACCACACTGCCATCATTACCAAGAAAAAGGCCTGCAAAGTTTTTCTTCCTTCTTGTTCGTCTTTTTATTTTGAAAACTGTCAGTCAGAATTTCCCAGAAGCCAATGTGACATGTACAGTAGTTTTGTCCACCAACAGTCTACAACATAAATAGTAAATCCTCACATTTAAAAGGAAGATAAAACCAAAACATTTTAAGTGAAAACATCTTTCATTTAATTTTTAGTTTATCAAGTAAAAGGTTAAAGATAGTTACTATCCATTATCCCATGCAAATTCACTTGCTCACCATTGCATTCTTTATGAGTTAGTGGGACAGACATTGCTGACCCTGTGTAGAAAACACTAGTATATATTTTTGATTGATTGATTTTATTCTTTCAAACATGTAAAGACAGTCGATATGTCAACACACATAATTTCACACATGTCCACAAATGCTAATCCATTATCAATTTGCTTATACCTAGTACATGCTTGAACGGAGTAGGAAGAAGTTAGACTTATCTAGTCCTACCCCATGACATCATCTTAC